AAATACACTCCTGGGGCAAGAATTTTCAAGGGCTCAAATAGACAACTCCCCAGAGTGGCTCACCATGCTCCATAATAAAACACAGAACTATTCTGAGAAGGTGTTCTTCACACTACACCCAGAGGTATCCCTTACCACTTATCCCATTTAAGGCTGCCATCTCAGACTTTTCACAACAAGCTGAAGGTTCAGAAATAGAATTTTTCCATGCTGATTCTTCCATCACTTCCCACAAATAAGAGTATTAAAGTGATGTACATACAAAAAGTTGGCATAAAAGACAATACAATCATAGAATCTTACAGGATAGGAACTCAAACTGTTCATACTGCAGAGGACCTGAAGAGGCTGTAAAGTGCTTTAGCCAAGGTTACAGAGCCAATTAACAGCAGAACACAATGCAAGTTACTCTCAATCCAGTTCTTTATGCATAAAACCATGCTGTCTTGATGTGCCCTACTATGAAGTTCTCATTCCTTTCAAAAGTTCATTTGAGAGTTTGTTCACATGCATCAATACAAATTTGTATTACAAGATCTATACACACACTATACATTACAGATCTATACATACCCACTACTGACAGCTATTTGAACTCAACCTAAAACAGAATTTTTTAAGTCACAAAGCATTTTTAAAAGCTTACTGTTGAGATTCAACAAGTATTAACTGGTTTATCTATTTTGATTTTCCAAATACTTCAGCAGTAAATAGATCAGCCTTTCTTATCAAAATATCTAAATCCAGGGATGCCTGGGTGACTCAGTTGGTTAAGCGACTACCTTCTGCTCAGGTCATGATCCTGGAGTCCTGGGGTAGAGTCCTACATAAGGCTCTCTGCTCAGCAAGGAGTCTGCTTCTCCCTGACCCTCCCCTTCTCGTGCTCTCTCTCTCAAAGAAATAAAATCTTAAAAAAAAAAAACAAAAAAACTAAATCTATGTTTCTCAAAGTATAGTTGGTACCAGAATCAGAGTCACATGACATACGTGTTAAAAAATGAGATTCCTAAGGATGCCTATGTGGCTCAGTCTGTTAAGCATCTGACTCTTGATTTCAGCTCAGGTCATGATCTCAAGGTCCTGAGATCAAGCCCTGCACTGGGCATCAGATCTGCATGCAGTCTGCTTGAAATTCTCTCTCTTCCTCTCCCTCTGCTTCTCCCCTTGCTCTCATGGGCACTCTCTAAAATAAATGAATAAGTAAAATCTTAAAAAAAAAAAAAAAAAAAAAGAGATTCCTAGTATCATGCCCAAATCAACTTAGTTTCTGAAACTCCCAAAATGGCATTTTAAAAAGTTCTCCAGGTGATTCTTATTCATTCAAAAGATACTGAATATTTGCTCTACAATATTCTAGTAGGAAACAGATAAACGAGTAAATAAAAACATTTTAAATTTTAGCTGTGCTGTAAAGAAAAAAAGTTAGTTAAGTAACAGAGTGACCTAGGGGACTACTTTAAAAATAGCCAGGCACCGGATTTTCAGGGTGATGAAAATACTCTGTATGATATTATAATGATGGATACATGTCATTCTACATTTGTCCAAACCCACAGAATGTACAAACACTAAGAGTGAGCACTAATGTAAACTATGGACTTTGGATGATTATGATAGGTCAATGTAGGTCCATCAACTGTGACAAATGTAGTAGTCTGGTGGAAGATATTCATATTGGGGGAGGCTGTGCATGTGTGCGGATAAATGGGAAATCCCTATTATCTTCATTTTGCTAAGCCTAAAACTACTCTAAAAGCCTTAAATTTTTTTTTTTTAAAAGGACTTTCTAAGGTCTAAGTCAGAGGCCTTTCTAAGGAGGCACATCTGAAGTGAGGAACCCTTCACTAAAGAAAAGTGGTACTTCAACTTAGTGTGCATCAAAATCACCTAGAGGACTTGTTAAAACAGACGGCTGGTTAGAAGGTCTGGAGCGGGGCCCAAGAATTTGCATTCCTAACAAGATCGCAGGTGATGGTGATGCTGCTGGTCCAGAAACCACACTTGGGAGAACCACTGATCTAGGAAGGCACAGCTAAAAAGTGTGAATAACTTTGGTGTGTTAGAGAAACAGAAAAAAGGCCAGTTAGTAGGAAGGGTAATGCACTTGTCGTCATTTGAAAACCACTAAACATGTTGACTTAAGTTACCAGTTATGACTCCCTAGACCAGAGAAGGAACCAGTGTTCCATAATACCTTACATTTGCAAAGCATTTCCCAGTTTATAAAAGTACTTTCCCATTTATTATTTCACTTGACTTAGTGAGATATAAGTAAAGGACTATTAGCTACATTAAGGGTGCAGAAACATTATAAACCTCCTTTACAGAAAACAACTGGCAGAACTATGTCCCTTGACCCCAAACACAGTGCTCTTCTAGAACAGCATGCTTACTTTTTTTAAAGAGCAAAGCAAAGGATATACATACAGGAGTTAATACTATCAAATTATTTTCTAGATTCCCTATCTAAAACTATGGTGACTTCAGACTTAATTTGTTTTAGGTACTGACTAGAAAGCAACATTACCTTAAAATGACAATATTTAGTCCCATCTACTTACTGTTCCTAGTGCAAAAACAAAGAATGGAGAATGAAGAGAGAATTCACAGACTATTACTCTCTCTCTCTCCTGCATAAATACCAAGGAGCCAATTTTCATAACCTCAAGTCCCTCAGACACATCAGTCAAACACAATTTTCATCTTGTGTCCTCTCTAAATCTCTCACCTAATCCAGGGTCCCATAAGAACACTGAATCCCACATGTCCTACTATACTCATGAGGCCATAAGCAGTTAGTCATACACCCATTATGCACCCTCTATACACCCACTATCACTTAGTATGTTCAACATCAATCAAATCCTTATTCTTAACCTAACACTCTTACCTGTATATCTCAATAATACTTCAAACCCAAAACATCCATAATTATATCCTTTCACCACACACACACACACACACACACACACACCTGCTTCTGTTCCTGAATTCGTTTATTTACATTAATAGCACTGCCACCCATCAAACAAGAAACTTGGAACTCAGCCTAGACACATCTGTCTGCCCTGCACCAATCTTGACACCCCCTATCCACATTCCCATGGCTAATAAGAATTAGTTACTACTACTAATTAATTAGCTGCCTTTTCATTAATAACTACCATGTACTAGTCACTTTACACACTTCATTCCATCAGTAACCCCATGAGGTAGGTACTTTTGTCCTTATTTCACAATTGAAAAAGCTAAGGCTAAGAAAAATTAATCTGTCCAAATCACAAGTGGGACTTACAAAGCAGACATCCAAACTCAAATGTTTCTCACAAAGTCCATACCTTTTCCCCATACCAAAATACTTCCTTCTTTAAAACCTCTTACCAGTCATTTATTAATTCCAAATGCTCATTTCTTTATATTACTGTCAAGATTCCCCTCCTCCAGCCCTGCCTCCCCTTACCCTTCAATAGGCCCCCAAGTGATCTCTTTGGATCACAAATGTGATCCTTTTATCCTCTTGATAAAAAAGCCCTTCAGGGGGGCGCCTGGGTGGCTCAGTCATTAAGCATCTGCCTTTGGCTCAGGTCACGACCGGGGACCGGGGTCCTGGGACCGGGGTCCTGGGATCGAGCCCCACATTCCCATACCGAGCTCACAGCTCCCAGGAAGCCTGCTTCTCCCTCTCCCACTCCCCCGATTGCGTACCTGCTCTCACTGTCTCTCTCTGTCAAAGAAACAAAAATTAAAAAAAAAAAAAAAAAAAGCCCTTCAGGGATTCCTTTTAGCCTACGCTGTACAAGATATACTTTACAGGATGAATCCCAAACCCTTTAGCACAGGTCAGCCACCCCTTACCTGCAGTGGCAAATTTCAAGAGTTTTGAAATTTTGAAGTTTTTCATAAATTTACAACAAAACCCACCCTGAATTGTGGCAAGTTATTTATGTCTACCCCATTAGTGGGATATTTGTACGTTTCACTACAGGAACATTAATGTGTTTGATAATGACTAGTTAACCTTTAGCTCCAAGGATGTGTAAAGTACCCTGTGCCCTGAAAACTCCCCAATCCAGTGAGCAACTCACCCTTGAAGAAACCTTCTCAAGGGTTTCCTTTTCAATGAAATTCCCCTGACCTTCTCTTGATTTGTCACAACCACTGTACCATGTACCCACCGCCACTGCCGCACGCTGGCTATGTGTTTCACCTATATGATTATGAATGAGCTCTTCACTCAGTATTTTACTCAATCCTAGCACACTGTCTGGAACACTAGGGACTCATTAATGTACAATGAAACCCAGCTTCTCTGAATTCCAATTCCCTTCAAAGTTCATTTCTCCTTCACCCCTGAACCTTAGGATACTTCCCTAAGCATGCAGGCCCTTCAAAGCTATTTTCGCGTCCGGAGTTCCTCCGTCCCAATGTCACCCTAAAATTACTTTCCACCAGACAGCTTCTCTCAGCCCCGAACTCTCCAATACCCTTTACCCCCCTCTGTTTAGTTCCTAGTCCTTCTCTCCCCTAGCCACGAACAGGTCAAGTCCTTCCCTCCAAAGCAATTCGTCCTCATAGCCCTTACCGCTTACCGACTCCCTCCTCAACACCTCTCGCGCTACAGGCCTTTTCTCCCACAACACTCCTCCAGAGCGGTTTCCCAGACCCTCTCTCCTCCCTCTGTCCGAGACCACCAGCTCCCGAACCTGCGCTCGGCCGTAGTCCACGCCTTCCCGACCAGTACCCGCACACCCCAAACCTCCCTTGCAGCCGGTGTCCCCTCCCCCAGCCTCTCGCCGCCGGCACCCCTCCCTTTACCCTCCCCTTATCTCTGGCGGTCCACCTTCTCTGGAAACTGTCCCGAGGCCGTGTCTTTCATCTCTTAGACCCCTCGGAATCGCGCCGTTCCAAGCAGCACTGGGCCCGAGCACCTCCGTCCCCAGATCGTCCTCGGCCCCGAAAATCTCCTTCGGCCCAGACCTCGGGCAGGGCCTCCAGCTCACCTTGCTGGATGTCGCCGTTGCTGCCCCCCGGGATGGACACGCTGAGCTGGCGCTCCGGCTCCGGCAGGCAGCGCAGGCAGAAGGAGTGAAGGCAGGGCAGCAGCTTGGGCTCCGCCTCACGCCGGCTCTGCAAGCTCTGCTGACACACGGCGCAGGTGTCCAGGAGCGAGGCTGGCGGTCCAGGAGGCGGCCCCGCCGACGGACCCGGAGCGGGAGCCGAGGCTGGAGCTGGGGCCGGCGTCGATACCGCGCCCCCGGGAACTCCAGGGCCCACTGAGGCCGCAGGGGCTGAGGCAGCCGGGGCCGAGCCGGAGGAGGCCGCGGACACCCCCCCGTCGTCGGGCCCGGCCGCGCCGCTCTCCGCGCCCGCCCTGCCGCCTTCCTCCTCCTCCTCCTCTACCAGCACCGCGGCGAGAGGCGGCTCCGCCTCCTGCGCCGCGGGCCCGGCGGCCCCGGCAGTTACCGGCGCGCTACCGCTGCCCCCGCCGCCGCTCTCAGCCTCGCCGCCGCCTTTGTTTTCCGCCATGTTTTCCTCTTTGAACCCGCCGGACCGCCCCGCGCCGCCCGCCGCCCGCGCCGCCGCCGCCGCCGCCGCCGCCCCCCGCCCCAGCCGCAGCCGCAGCGAGAGCGGCAGCCGAGAGCGAGCAGGCGAGCGAACGAACGAGAGCGCGCGCGCACGCGGCGCCCCCGCCCTCGCGTCGCGCGGCTGAGAGAGGGCGGGCACGGTGCGCGCACGTACGCACGGCGTCCTCCTGAGGGAGGCGGGAACTTGGGGCGCCGGCGGGGGTCGTCCCCTCCTCGGCTCCCTACCTCTGGCTCGGCAGTGTGGGGTCCACGCTGCCTCTGCCCGGCTCGCTGGGAGCGTTTAGAGCAGTGGCCGTTGACGCTGAGCCGCCTTTGGGCGGCAGTTGTTAACGAGCTCCGACGCAGCGGGAAAGCGTAGGACGGGAGGCAGATCGGTCCCTTCCGAGCCAGCGTCTCCCGGGCGGCGCCGTCCCCAGAGGCTGGCGCGAACCTCGCTTGCTGCAGGGTCGGACGCTGTAACCTGGCTCCGAGGTGCGGGCCTCCTGGGGCTTGGTGCCGTAACCGGCTGCGTTCCTTTGGGTGGTTGTGCCCCAAGGGAGCCGTGAAACTGGGCCTTTTTCCCCCCACCCTTACTGGAGGCCTGCCAGAGATAGGCTGAAAAGCTCCCTGAGGAAGAAACTCTTTAACAGCTATTTTTAGCTTCTTCAGGTGATTGATTCTCCGACATTGCTACGTATCAGAAAACCAACTGAGGAGCTTTTTCAAAGCAGAGATGCCAGAGCCACACCCCAGACCTGCATCAGGAAGTGGGGGGGGGGGGCTGGCAGGACAGATGGATGTTGAAAAGTCGCTTCCGCGGATTCAGTTGTGCGTCAGTTTGAGGAGCCACGGATCTACCCAATGTTATGTCCTGAGAGTCCCGCTTAGTGTTCTGGCGAGAGTTGGGTTCCAAATGCCCTAATAATATGGGTAATAGCAGCTTTCAGAAAGGTTTGTCTTTATTTGAAAACAAGTATTCGGGATGTTTATGTTGCGCAGCGGCTGTTTTAATGTTAGGATCATGAAGTGCTTTCGTCTTCTGACAGTGTTGCCAAGGAACCGTTATTCTTTGAGCTTGCACGAGTCCTTAAAATAAGCCACTTCGAAATATTTTTCATTTATTCGGTCAAAAATAATGGACCTCTGACTATGTATTAGGGAGCGTTTTAGAAATTAACAGCAGAAAGCAAAGGAGATCTGCGCCTTCTAGGAGTTGGCAATATAACGGAGATTGATAATAAGTTGATTGACAGTAAATATATGCTAGGGAGTGATAGGTACTATAAAGACAAAATAAGAGTAAAAGAAATCAGATGACTGAGGAAGGCCTCTGTTGATACATGAACAATAATTGTGGTTCTTGAACGAGAGTGTTCCAGGGAGAGGAACAAACAGTAAGTATAAATGATCTGAGGCAGACAGGGATTCTTGACTTGTTAGAGGAACAGCAATGAGTCAGGGGGGCTTGAATGGTTTGAATATGGGACAGAGTAGGAGAACATGAGCATAAGGAAATTAAGGGGGCCAGGTCATATACAGAAATAGTCCTCAATTTTTTAAACTTATATGCCTTTGCAAAGAACCTTGAAAAACGATTTTCTCAAACACTGTAAGTAGTTGACAGCAAAATTTTTCATCATGCACCTGAATAGTTGCAAAGAGTGCAATTACCAACATTTTGCAATAATGACATTTTAAAATTGTTATTTTAAATCTATCCAATTTAAAAGTGAACATTTAAATTAAACATTATCGGGGTGCCTGGGTGGCTCAGAGGGTTAAGGCTCTGCCTTTGGCTCAGGTCATGGTCTTGGGGTCCTGGGATCAAGCCCCACATCAGGCTCTCTGTTCAGCAGGGAGCCTGCTTCCCCCTTTCTCTCTCTCAGCTTGTCTCTCTGCCTACTTGTGATCTCTGTCAAATGGATAAATAAAATATTTTCTTTAAAAAAAATAAAGTTAAACATGTAACAAACACCACCATGCAGTTGAAACACATCCATCAGAAAATGTTTTATTTTGGGGACACCTGGGTGGCTCAGTTGGTTAAGCCTCCCAACACTTGATTGCAGCTCAGGTCATGATCTCAGGATTGTGAAATCCAGCTCTGGGCTGGCTCCGTGCTCAGCCAGGGATCGGTTTGGGATTTTCTCTCTCCCTATCCTTCTGTCCCCGGCCCCTCCCACTCTTGTGTTCTCTTTTCTCTCTCTAAAATAAATCTTTTTTTTTTAAATGTTGTATTTTGTTAAATAAACATGGGAAATAAGTTGTTACTGGGATTGTCTTAATGAGATGGCTGGTAGTTTTATCAATTAGTTCATGTAGACCTGAATGTGTTAGAGCATCTAATTCCATTTTTCATTTTTATAGGTATAATAAGCACTGTATGAAAATACTATATATGTGTGTGTACATTTATTTTTATATGTGACAAATTCCCTCGAAACTATCCTTAGCTTGTACCCCTTGGAAAAAATCCCTCTGCTGGATTATCCAAGGAGTACTCCTAACCTAGTTTCAAGACGCTGAGTGAGATGGGAAGGTTTGGATTAGTTTTGAGCAAAGACTCCACGCAGTGAAGAGTCGCTGGGGCTGCTTTCTAGAGAAATCATGTGTAGGGGTTCAGAGTGGAAGAAAGACCAGTTAGGCTGCTAATAGAATAATAGTCAAGGAATGCTGGTTTGGACCTGCAGGGTATCTGTGCAGATGGCGAAAAATATGAAGTATATATAATAAAGAGCAAATAAAGACTTTAATCCAAATTCACTTCAAAAAATTAAGTTAATGGGGCTGAATCTCTCTCAACCAAGTTTTGCTTTGTTGAATTTTTCTTAACCTTTTGAAGCCTGCTACTACTTGCCTTTATTAAAATCCAGTATAAAAGTGTTTTCAAAAACTATATAATTTTATAGAGAAGAAATTGCCCTTCATGAGATTTACTGTGTGCTCTGAAAAGGTAGTACCAGGAAGTAAGCTGTCGCGGAATATTTGGGGACATACAAACACATACCTAGGTACTTCTTGGGATGCCTGGCTCCTCAGTCGGTAGAGCATGTGACTCTTGATCTTGGGGTTGTGAGTTTAAGCTGCACATTGGATATAGAACTTACTCTAAAAATAAATAAACCAGCAGACAGACACTCAAGTATGTCCTTGATTTGCAATGGTAGCTCAGAAATCTTAGGGGAGAAACTAAAACCATAAGGCTGAGACACCATATGCACAAATCTGTCTGATGGAGAATGCATAACACAGAGGCTGAATATATGTCCTGGAGGCAAAATGCCTGATTTGGGGGCACCTGGGTGGCTCAGTGGGTTAAAGCCTCTGCCTTCAGCTCGGGTCATGGTCTCAGGGTCCTGGGATCAGGCCCCACATTGGGCTCTCTGCCCAGCGGGGAGCCTGCTTCCCCTTCTCTCTCTGCCTGCCTCTGCCTACTTGTGATCTCTCTCTGTCAAAATAAATAAATAAAATTTTAAAAAAAATGCCTGATTTGAAGTCTGATTCCACCACATACTAGCTGTGACTTGGGGTAACTTAGTTAACTTGCCTCAGTTTCCTCATTTGTAAAAAGGTGTTTCATCCTAGGAGGACCCACCTTAAGGTTGACAAATCTTTGTAAAGTGCTTACAGTACCTGGCACATGGTAAATCTGAAATGAATATAAAGGCAGAACCAAAGGTTCCTGAAGGGGACTGAACTGGAGGGAAAAACAAAGGTACCTTAGGAAAATCTCAAAAAAAGAAATTCTGCTAAGGGCTAAACTGAGCAGTGGGTATAAGTAGAGGCTCTTCGCAGCCATTCCCCTGGCTAAGGCTGTCTTTTACTTTTGACCCTCTTGCACAAGAATTATGAGAAAAATAGTTCTGAAATTAAGGAGAGCTGTAGGTGCCTAGCAGCTCTGCTATGGAGAAAACCCCCTGAGACTGTTGGTAACTGGAAGTGGAAGGAACTTTCCAGTTGTCCGGAAAAGAGAAAAAGCACTAGAAGTAAATGACATTAAATGAATTAGTGATGGTGAGAGCATAATCCATTGGCTGGGCACAGGAGGTCTGTGACAATAAGGCAGCAGGCCCAGAGTAGCACGAAGACTTGTAAGGGCCGGTTCTGCAGCTCTTGGGCCCAGCAAGCGTCATCAATAGCAGAAGCAGAAGAGTGCCTGGGGGCCAGCAGAGGAATGCTGAACTGCCATTGAGATTTGGAGCATTTCTTGAATGTCCTACTTAGCACTCATGAGTGGGTGAGGCCATCAGGTCTTAAAGGTGAAATTTTGTGATTTAAAGTTCACTTCTCGAGGTGCCTGGGTGGCTCAGTCTTTAAGCATCTGCCTTCGGCTCAGGTCATGATCCGGCTTCTTGTCCAGCGGAGAGCCTGCTTCTCCCTCTCCCACTCTCTCTGCTTGTTCTCTCTCTCGCTGCATCTGTCTCTGTCAAATAAATAAATAAAATCTTTAAAAATTAAATAAAGTTCACTTCTCAACAGCGTTGATTCATAAGCTCATGCACCTGGGACTCAACTCATCCTTGGACTTAGTGGGATGTCCAGCTTCAGAGAAGGGACCTTCCTAACAAAAATTGTTGAAAGAGGAAATAAAAAGGGGTGATTTGAGAAGAGCAAGTTTTTGTCTAGAAGTGAGTGCAGCACCACACCGAGGAAAAGGAAAACAAGCACAAGAAATCTCCATGGTCTGTTTGGGTAGAAGACCCGTCAGGCCCCCGGATACCCTGACACCAAGAAGAACAAAGGCATCACCTGGGAAGAGATATATTTAGAATATCCCAAGAAGTATATCCCTGGAACAAAAATAATCTGCTAGCATTAAGAGGCAAAAAAGGCAAACTTGACAGTGTATCTCAAAAAAGGTATTGAGTAATAGTTGGCCACTGCCTTATTTCTTACAAAACAGAAATGTCTTGAGTTCTTTTAAGTGTAACATACTTTGAGTGATCTCATGCAGGGACACCT